CTCGCAGCCGCGTTGGCCTCCTTGGTCCGTGTTTCAAGACGGGTCGCATCAGCCCGTTTCGCCAGCGCCGACCCGTGAGGGTCATCCTCGGTCTCCGCCGCGGTGGGAGCGAGCTCCTTTTCCCGCGGCATCGACCGGCGCTGCGTACCTCCGGGCCCCGCGCGAACGGGGCCCGCAGGTTTGCTTGGGCTCATGCGCTTATCCTCCTGACGATTTCAAGCACTTTTTACTCTCTTTCCAAAGTTCTTTTCATCTTTCCCTCGCGGTACTTGTTCGCTATCGGAAACCTGGCCGTATTTAGCCTTGGATGGAGCTTACCACCCATGTTGGGGCTGCACTCCCAAGCAACCCGACTCTTCGGATGCGTCTCGTGGAGTGACGGGTCGTCGCCCGACGGGGGTGTCACCCTCTCTGCCGCCACTTTCCAGTGGACTTAAGGCGGCGCCCGTCACAGAGAACGCTTCCTTTTCAGACTACAATTCGGAGGGCCGGGGGCCCTCGGATTTCAAGCCTGGGCTTTTCCTTGGTCGCTCGCCGCTACCAAAGGAATCACGGTTGTTTTCTTTTCCTCCGCTTAGTAATATGCTTAAATTCAGCGGGTGGTCTCGCCTGACTTGAAGCCATCGTTTGGGGTTTGCCCGGTTCCTCCCCGTCCGACCATTTTTGTACGAGCCCCGTCCGCCTCTCGCCCGTTCTTGTGCGCTACTTTGGAGGGGGAGACCGGGGGTTGCCACGCCCCCGGCTCCCGAACCTTTTCGCGACCGTCTCGGGAGAGAAAAGAGGGACCGAGTGACCGGCCCCCCCACCTGCTGGGAGGTCCGGACGGAGTCCGTTGGCCGGCTGGGTTCGCCGAGCCCAGCGGGGTCGCCGCCCGCCTCATCTCGCTCGTCCCACTCGCGTCCTCCCGGGTGGCGCCCGGGGATCTGCACTGGGGTCGAGAGGAGCGGAGACGGGCTAATGCGGCCCTGCGATTTCAACCGACTGCCCCCCATTTGTGCCCCGGAGCGCACGGGTTGCGACGGCCATCTCGTTTTCCCAGGTACGAGCGATTGTCTCGGAGAAAGGGGGGGGCCGGAGCCCACACCAACCCGAGCGCCCCTTGTCTGCCCCGCATTGCTTTCCCGTCCCGTTTCCCCTGCCGCACTTAGCTGCGTGCGGAGGGGTGGGTTCGGATGCGAGGTTCCACCTGGATGTGTGTGGCGTTCAAGCAGACGTGCCCTCGGCCGAGGCCTCGGGCGCAACATGCGTTCAAAGTTTCGATGATTCACGGAGTTTTGCAATTCGCATTACGTATCGCATTTCGCTGCGTTCTTCATCGAGCCAGGTTCCAAGATATCCATCGTCAGGAGTGGGGTCCCAGTTTTTATTAGGTGCCGGGGCCCGTGGGCGCCCCGCTCAAGGGAGGGTTTTTGCGACCGGACGGCCAGTTCCGGTTGCGGAGAGGTTTGTATTCCGCCTCTGCCCGCAGCTCCTTGATGCACTGCGAGCGGGACGGTTGGGGGTAGCAAAAGGGTCCCTTTGCCATCACCGCGGGCGCCCCTTCCCGAGCCTTCCTAGAGGAATTCAGAAGGCCGGGCGAGCAAGACCCCGCAGTCACACCGCCGATGCCAAGAGAGACCGAGCACCGGTGGCGGGGGACGCTGGATTGGGAGGAGGAGCGTCGGAAGGAAAGGTGTTCAGAGGATACTCGAGGTCAGGCCCCGGGCTTCCCTCGCTTGCGCTTGGTAGGCCCGAGCTGTTTCCATCAGGGCTGGGGAGTTTTTTTTTTTGTCCGCATGGACGCCCGGTGCCGCCGGGTTGCTGCATTCCCTGGTGTCGAGGCTCGTCACGAACTGGAAGGAAAGAGCTTCGGGTGCCACCCCTCCGCCCAGGCCGACCGTGTCCGCGTCTTGCCTCGCTCCCGATCGCGGCTAGCCTTTCGGGTGGCGGCCCTAATAAGCTCGCTGCGTGAGAGGGGACGGCAACCTGACCTCCTGCGAGAGGAGGTTCGCCCGGTCCCCCCGAGTTGCGAGCAACCCGGAGGACCCGAGGGCGGTCGTTTCGTCACTCGTTCTTAGGGGCGTTTGCCGAGGTCTGGGATCAACCAGGGCGGTGCCCCATGCCTGTCGGGGTGCGCTTTCCGTTCAGCACCACAACGGATCCATCGGTGCTCGGACTTTTTTCGAGCCACCGCACCACGCCAGCTCGCCGATCGCTCGCCAAAACGACCGACGCGCTCGCGGGGCACGGCCTGAGGTGGGGTTCCTGCATTGTTCCGACGGATCCTCCGACAAGGCCACGGGCACGGAGATCCGGCAGCCGGCTGAACGCCGGTCGTCATCCTTCCGTGCCCTCGAGCGTGCTCTGGACGCTCGCCTCCTCCTAGGAGGAACGCGAGAGCCCGCCATCTCTCTCGTCGCCGCTCGCAGCCCGGGCACGGGTGGAACCCGATTCCTTTTTGCGAGCGGGACGCGAGCACGCGCTTTCCCCACCCAGGAGGCCGATGCAACGCGAGCGCCGCACCTGCCGACCCGGGGTTTGGGCTGCGATTGACCCCGCAACCCAAGGGCTCACTGAGTGTGTCAATGATCCTTCCGCAGGTTCACCTACGGAACGGTGAAATCCTGCATCCTCTTCGGGACGAGGAGCGCGGTCTCCCGCGCTCGCCGACTGTATCTTAGGCCTGCTCGGAGGCAGACCCACCGTCGTTCAGTCTGTGAACTGCCCCTTGCCGGTCTCGGGTCCTGGAGGTAGGACCGGAGACGGGCCCGGGTTGGCTGCGGATCGTCTCACCCGGCCGTGCGTTGTCACCATACCCCGACGCCTTGTCTGCGTCGGGCCACGCCCCCGGCCGTCTGACCCCGTCGATAAGAGGGGGGCAGCCGAGCCGGGCCGGCGCTTGGTAGCACGGCCTCTCGAGAGGTCTCCGCAGTTGGACGGTGTCGCGCCGAGGGGGTCGCGCTCACGGGCCGCAAATCCCACCCCGGTGCACTAGCGCTTAGCGTCCCTCCCTCTCTATCCGTCGGCGAGAGGGAGAGACGCACCTGCCCCTCGAGAGGCAGGGCCGCTCAGGCTTCCGTGTACGTGCAAAGCCCCTGCGGAAGGGGTTTTGTGCCGCGCACGGCAACCTTGTTACGACTTCTCCTTCCTCTAAATGATAAGGTTTAATGAACTTCAGGCAGCGTCACCGACGGGTGACCGTCAGCGTCGTCGCTTTCCGTAAACTTCACCGGATCATTCAATCGGTAGGAGCGACGGGCGGTGTGTACAAAGGGCAGGGACGTAATCAACGCGAGCTGATGACTCACGCTTACTAGGTATTCCTCGTTGAAGATCAATAATTGCAACGATCTATCCCCATCACGATGAATTTTCAGAGATTTCCTAGACCTCTCGGTCAAGGGTGAGCTCGTTGAATTCATCAGTGTAGCGCGCGTGCGCCCAGAACATCTAAGGGCATCACAGACCTGTTATTGCCTCAAGCTTACAGTTGGCTAAACGCCAACAGTCCCTTTAAGAAGTCAGCTGCGAACGCGAGCGTTCGCATGCCTATTTAACAGGCTGAGGTCTCGTTCGTTAACGGAATTAACCAGACAAATCACTCCACCAACTAAGAACGGCCATGCACCACCACCCATAGAATCAAGAAAGAGCTCTCAATCTGTCAATCCTTACTATGTCTGGACCTGGTAAGTTTCCCCGTGTTGAGTCAAATTAAGCCGCAGGCTCCACACCTGGTGGTGCCCTTCCGTCAATTCCTTTAAGTTTCAGCCTTGCGACCATACTCCCCCCGGAACCCAGAGACTTTGATTTCTCTCAAGGTGCCGGTGGCGTCGTGGATGTAACATCCACCGATCCCTAGTCGGCATCGTTTATGGTTGAGACTAGGACGGTATCTAATCGTCTTCGAGCCCCCAACTTTCGTTCTTGATTAACGAAGACATCCTTGGCAAATGCTTTCGCAGTGGTTCGTCTTTCATAAATCCAAGAATTTCACCTCTGACAATGAAATACGAATGCCCCCAACTGTCCCTTTTAATCATTACTCCGGTCCTGGAGACCAACGCAATAGGACCAGAGTCCTATGCGGTTATTCCATGCTAATGTATTCAGAACGTGGCCTGCTTTGAACACTCTAATTTTTTCAAAGTAACATCGCCGTGCCCACGCCCCGACCAGTGAAGGCCAGGACGTGTTCCCGACAGGTAGAGCGGAGGAGACAGTATCAACCGAAACGGCAGACCGAGACCTCCGCCCGGATATCCAACTACGAGCTTTTTAACTGCAACAACTTAAATATACGCTATTGGAGCTGGAATTACCGCGGCTGCTGGCACCAGACTTGCCCTCCAATAGATCCTCGTTAAGGGATTTAAATTCGACTCATTCCAATTACCAGACTCGAAGAGCCCGGTATTGTTATTTCTTGTCACTACCTCCCTCTGTCAGGATTGGGTAATTTTGCGCGCCTGCTGCCTTCCTTGGATGTGGTAGCCGTTTCTCAGGCTCCCTCTCCGGAATCGAACCCTAATTCTCCGTCACCCGTTACCACCATGGTAGGCCTCTATCCTACCATCGAAGTTGATAGGGCAGAAATTTGAATGATGCGTCGCCGGCACAAGGCCGTGCGATCTGCGGAGTTACCATGTTTCACCAAATGGACCGGGCAAGCCCGCATTGGCCTTTGCTCTAATAAATGCGTCCCTTCCGTGAGGTCGGGACATTTTGCACGTATTAGCTCTAGAAATTACTACGGTTATCCGAGTAATTGGGCACCATCAAATAAACAATAACTGATTTATTGAGCCATTCGCAGTTTCGAGGGAACAAATGCCCTCTTATACTTAGACATGCATGGCTTAATCTTTGAGACAAGCATATGACTACTGGCAGGATCAACCAGGTAGCCCTTCCCAAAGGTAACCAGGAGCGCGGGAGCCTTGACGGCACCCTCGCGGGCCTCGGTCCAAGGAAGCTCGCGCCTCCTGGGACGTCTGCCATTCCCCTTTCTCGCACGGGCT